GTGTCATTTTCTTAGTAGAAAGAAAGCAAAGGAAGGAAGGAAGGAAGGAAGGAAGGTAGGTAGGTTACTGTTCTCCATTTTGAGAATTACTGAGATTGTAACCTCCCAAAATACATAAATAGATATTGTACTTCTATAACCATATTAGGAGCAGGGTGCATGTAACTTATGGACTGCCCATTATTATTCTAGAATGTATGTATTTCGGGGTAACCCTTGGGATAGCTGAGAGGCCAATTCTATCTAGTACAAAACCTGTGACTCATGCTGTCCATAGCCCATTACAACTTTGTAGATTAGAATTTTCCTGTTCCATAAATTAGGCAATGAAGTAAGCAAGTAATTTGTATAGAAATTGGCAACTTCATCAATACAGTAGGCAAAAAAAGCTTATGTAGACAACTTTCAGAAACAAGGCATGAATTATTCTAAGAACAGGATGGCCTGTTCTGCACTGGCTGATAAAACAACCAGATTTTGCCTCACTACCAACTATATAGTTACATAGCAGAAGACTGAATTCTTTGCATGCACAAAAGAAGACAGAAACCAAAGGGGATAAAAGAGGAAAGCTATGAATTAAATTCAATGTATAGCAAGCTGCAGACGTTCACTAGCCTGAAAGGACTGTCACCGCTCTCCTCTGTCCCAGAACCCTCCATTCTGCCTGAAAATCTTCTCTGAAGAGCTTCCAAGCCCTCTGGGACTTTTTAAAGGGCATTCACGATATGGAAGAGGAGAAAGAAATCCTGTCACTCACTGATGGAACAGCTTCCACCTACAAAACCATCATGGCGGGGGGGGGCACTCAGAATCTGGACCAGCCCTCCTCCAGCCTTCTTTAGATGAATTGGACTACAATTCAGAGCTTCCTCTATGTGGCATGCCTGGGGATGCTGGGAGTTACAGTCCAATATATCCAGCGATCACCAAGCTGTGAAAGAGTGATGTAGATATTACTTGTTAATGAATTTTAAAAGTATATATTCATGAATACATGCTTTTACTTTTTTATTTCTGTGAACAAGTTGGTAAACACCTCAAACATAAGGGTATCTCAAAGTCTGGGTAAATGGGGCTATGTTGAAATAGTACAGGGAGAAAAATGAGCACTCAATCTTAACTTCAAAGAGCTTCTAATATACTCGGGAAAGAAAGAAAAAAGAAGAGACCAAGTTACAGTAGGACTAATTCGACATGCACTGTTTTTGTAAGAGGGAGCATCAGATTAATTTCCGACATGCTCCCAATTTCACTATCCAGAAATCAACCTGCTCAGCTTCTGTCACTCAACCCAAGTGCAGCAGACAGTTTATTTTAAGGAAGGCAGAAGTCTAATGCTCTGTAGAGAAGCCCCACAAAGACCCAGAGAGCAGCAAGTGAGAAGTGGCAAGCCCATGCTCAGAGTTTAAGCTAAAAAAAAACAGAGTTAGCAAACAGTTGCGTTGCTGTTTTGTTCCAGCATATCAGGAATACAGAAACAATGTATGGTGGTAGGGAGGTGAGAGAGAAGAGAACTGTTAATAACATCCTTCACAATTTAAGCAAAGGCTGCCTAAAGCCACCCTCACCCCCAATGAGGCCTTTACATCCAAGGTCCAAAATTGCTTATCTGCACCACTGAGCACAAGTCAATTCTGTCATAACAAGAACAAGGGAAAGAAAACACAGGATAAGAGTCCTGAGGACAATCAGGGGGATGAACTGAACTGACAAAAGCAGCAGGAAATTCTTGGTAAAGTTGCCTAGGAAAGGATGGTAAATAGCACATGACAAAATTGGAAATTACCAATATATGCAGCCTATCAGTATGAGAAATAAAAATCATCTCTAAGCAATGGTCAATGTGTACAAAAATTAAGCCAGGATATCCTTTAAGATGTATTTGCACTACAAATTACACTGAGGCCCCTCGACAATTCATTTCAAATGCTGTAAATACATTGCCAGTCACCCTAAAATGGTCTAGTTAAAATTCCTTTGAACCTCAAATCCATAATGTAGATGAGTCAGAAAACTGGCACGAGACAGTAACCTCTTGTGCCAACCCTCTGCCTGCCCTATATTCCCAAACACAGCCTTCATGTTGTCGCATCTTCCAGACACCCCTTCCAATATCTAAAGCTGACTCTTCTCAGATCCCAATCTATTTTCTTTGCAGTCCCACAGAAATCAAAATTAACTAGTTGAAGTTAAAGCCAACCCCTATTGCCATAGCCCTGTCCTAAATTGTTTCTTAGCTTTGTGACTATGAAAAATACTGGGAACCGACCAATATAACAATCATATACTTCCCAATTTATCAAATATGACTGGGAAGAAGTTACTTTACTTCCATCTTAACAACACTTGTGAAATACAGTTTCTTTCCCATGCAAGGCTTGGGAATTATACATCAAAAGTCCTTGGGTATAATCCTTGGCTCCTGTTTAGACAGATATAAATTCTAAATAAGTTCAGCCCACCATGCTGACTAAGGACTGCTGCGAGTTGCAGGAAATTTTTCCTTTCTAAACATTCATAAGATTGCACCCTGACCTTGCTAACCCAGTAAAATGGAATGGTTCTAACACTTATTTCTATTTCCTATATGACTACTAAGGATGAAAACAGACATTACTTTAAATCTGTATCTAACAACTATATATTGTAGGTTATTATTTTTACTCTAGAGTAGGTACAGCAGCTCAAGCCAGGTTATGACCCATTCATGTGGGTAGCTGGAATGGCCACAATCACAGGGTGAGTAAGAGTGTTTCTAATATTATTTTTTCAGAGTGTACAAGAATAAAAATACACAAAGAGAGCAAAACATGAAATACAACTACAATATAACAATAAAAGACACCTCAAAATAATAAAAGATAAGCAAACATCAGGATTTGGGACATTGCAATTGTCTCTAAATGCCTGGCAGAAGACAATTCACCAAGAAGAGCTGAATGAAGCAGCCACACATACCTATCAAAAGTGGAATTGCAAACTCCAGGCAGAGTGAACTATAGAGGAGGCCCAATTCCACACACTCACCAACCTAACTTTTATGAATGGCAGCATGCACAGCATAGCCCCAATGTGGATTTCAACTAGCAAACAGTACAATGTGGGATTAAGTAGACCTGTAGGGAGCTCAAGTTGTTTAGAGCTTTGAAAAACAAAAACAGCACTCAGATTTGGACATAAGAACAAGCAAAACTTGTCATGAATAAAATAGATGGTCTATTGTTCAAAGGTTACCCTTCCTCTGCTTAGAAAATCTTAGAGAAAGTTTTCAACACATTAAGTCTTTGCACTTTAAAAGACCAAGCACCCCAAATTAAAATTGAATTTGGTATCATAATTTGGAGTAGACCTGATTTTAGGGTTTTTGAAAGTTCAGCAGGGCTTCTCATCTTGCCCTTTGCTTGATTATCAATAGGATCCATGCAATAGTCACTCAGATACCAATCGGCATTCTTCCCACTTGCTCTTAATAAGATATGTCCCTCAAATGTATGATCAATTTCTAATAATATCTTAAATGCTGAAGATCCCACTTGTAATCCTGAAAAAACTTTGATCATCAGCATCTTGAAAGCAATACACATACTGAATTCCTCAAAATAACTTCTGAGTTTCACCTTATGCTTGACCCAGTTCAATAGCCAGTAAGTTTAATGGCATGGTCCCACTCTCTTCCATCATTCTGTTAGCTCCCATGGATAATTCCAGGTTGCAGTTGCCAAGAAAGTAAGACATTATGAAAAATGAGCAACATGAAAATAAGTGAATGCTCCTTTTGTCAATGCTGCATCTCCAGATATGAGATGTTATATCTCAGCTATCTCACTAAATGTGTTATGAAACAAGATATATGATGTATTAATGCATTACCAACTTTAAAAAAAGATGCATTGCCAAAAAATGCATCAGCAGATGTAGCTGTCTCTGAAATGACATCTGTGAAGTTTAGAATGGCATTTTCTCCATCTTAAAAAAATGGGGGACATCATGGAAAGCATAAGCAAAGGAGTAATTTCCACAAGTGGTAATCTTCATAAGGAATCTGCTGGCTACAATTTAAGAACTATGCATGTTCTATTATCAATATCAAGCGAAAGAAAACTGTTGTATAACTTAAAATACCAAGAAAATACTAATGAAGTCCAAGGTATTGTTTCAAGTCAAACCCTAGACCCATATATATGCTGTTTATTTTTTTAGAAGAGAGCAGTGTTTAGTCTTACAGAGTTGTATATTGGGTCCATTTCCTCTTTTCAACACTTTGTGATTCCACACTGAGTGTATAGTCAATGATGAATCTTAGAAATATTGCCTACAAGCTAACACTGAAACCTTTCCAAATATCAAAGTATCAGAAAAATAATTCAAAGGTACATGCTAAATGGCCTCCAACAGTAATTTGCAAGTGCCTTCCAAGTAACAAGGCAGATTTCAAATAACTCTTTATCTTTTAATTCCACTTCAATAGATGCAGCCTCCTATCTTTTTAACTTTGGTTGTTTAACTATTTAACTTTCAAACAAAACTAGCTTTTAACTGAGAATGCCTTTCTTTTGAAACAAACAACACATTAAAATTGCACTGTTTTTTGTTTAGTTTTTTGTTTGTTTGTTTTTTGTTTTTTTCATTCCCTGAAGCCCAACAAACTCTCTCCATGAACTGGGCACGACCAAAACGACACTCTCCTTTTCATTAGTACATAAAAGGAGATAAGTGAAAGAAATAAAGGTAACCAGATATCTTTCACATCTTCAACATTGTACAAGCTATTCATAAAATCATTTCATGATGGGGGGTTGGGAGTGAGGAAGGTAGAGGAATGAATTGCAACTGTGCTATAAGAAGAAAGACCGATTCTAACGTGCAACATATTCTGGGAATAAAAAGGCAGCATTTTCCTAAAGATATACAAAGGAGGCATTTTTTGGCCTCCTAACAAAAGAAGCTCAAGACATGGAGTCGGATAGTATTGGCATCACATTTCTATATTCCCTTACCTGCCACCGGGTAAGCCAGAGAAGCTTGCACAGACAGCAACAGAGGCAGCAGCACAGGGTGACCCGTCCGAAGCACCAGTCTGCGGGCAATGCACCAAGGTGGACTGGGGCAACGGAGCACCAGCGTGACCAAGGCAACCATCAAGCATGTCATCCCATCCATGGCAAAGCCAAGCATCAAGTCAACATCTCGGCCACCACCAGCATCCCCCAGAAGAAAGAGCTGGGTGGTCTTCCCGCTTCGTCCTCTGAGCATCCAATACCAGCAGGCAGTCGGGCAGAAATCAAAGGCATGGGGAGGGGGTATCAGCCAGCCCCCCCTCCCCGGCTCGCAACCCCCGATGTTGTGAAATGCAGGAGCAGTAGTGGGGAGCAGGTGGAAACGGGCAGGAGGGGTAGCGTGCACTGGAAAAAGAGAGATGGAGGGAGGATCCCAAGAACAAGTGGGAATGCAAGCAAGACAATTAAAGTGAGTCCCTATACTATGGAACTGAAAAAGGGAATGCAGGAGGAGCGGGATAAAGTGAAAGCAGAGGAGATCCGGTTATTGGAGAAAAAGTGGAGCAGAGTATCCCGTTCCAAGGAGATGCTGCGGGGCGGGCGGAGGGCAAGAGAGAGAGATGGAACCAGGAATGCGTGGGAGGATGCAGTCGGAGCGATTGCAATTCCTGGAGAAAGGAGACCCTGCACGGGCGGGGCGGGCGGGGCGGGGGGAGACACAGAGCTAGGATAGACGAGGGGGAGAAGAGTGTGAGATTTCGCAGCCCTGGGATGGAAAGGAAAGGGAGGAGAATGCAAACATAAAGGGAGAAGTAGGGCGGCGGGGGGGGGGGGGGGATACGGTGAAAGAGAGAGAAAGCGAAAACGCGGTAAGGGAAGAAGCGATCAGGGCGCCGACAAGGGATGCCAGGAGAGGCCCCTCCCTCGGCTCTGCGAGAGAGGCTGTAATGCCGGGAGGGGAGCAGGCGGCGGAGAGTCAGCAGCGTGTCTGTTCCGGCCTGGCCGCGGCTCTGGCAGTCCAAGAGTAGCAGCGAGAGGAGGAGGCGAGAGAGGCAGGCAGGCCAGCGGGCTGCTCTTGCTTCTTGGCCCTTCCCGGCTCTTCACGTGGGAAGGGGGCTGCTGTGTGCGTGTGTGCGAAGGCGGGCGCAGGGAGCTCCCGCGGCTAACGGGGAGCCTCCCTCAGTCTCTCCCTCCTCCTCCTCCTCCGCTACCACGAGCCCACCCTTCTGCTTCCCGGCGACACTCCAGCTTCGAGTGGGAGGGCGGGGACAGGAGAAGGCAGCGGAGCCGCCGCCGGCTCGGGCGGGTGGGAGCGAGGGAGGTAAGGAGGACTGCCAGCCAGCCAGCCGGCCGGCCGGAGGCGTGTGGCCGGGCTGGGCTGGGCTGGGCTGGGCTGGGCTGGGGGGGAGACGGGGAAGAGAAAGCGAGCCCGAGGACTGGCGAGGACAGCACCTGCGCGCACGAGGCGGAGAAGGCAGTCGAGCACGCGCGCGCGCGCCACGGAGAGCAGGTTGAGCGGCCGCGCGCGGCAAACTCCTGGGCCCGGGCGAGCGGTGATTCGAGCAGCCCGAGCGAGGTTTTCATTAACAAAACAAAAAGCCGAGGCGAGCGCGGGAGGGGCCGTCGCGCTCTCGCAGGCTGTTCCCGCCCGCCGCGCCTCCCTCCTTCCCTCCCTCCGCCCGCCGCGCCTGCTCTCCCCGCTTGGCTCGCTGCAGCTCCGTGCGCCGCGCCAACCCGCAAGGAGCGTGCGAAGCCGCCGCGTGAGCAGCGTGGGGCGGGGGGCGCGCGTGGGCGGGCTTGGGCGCGCGGAAGGGGCGCGGGCGCGGGCCGCGGGTGGGCGCCTTTGTTGTCCAGACCCGCTTCCCTCCGAAGCTGGCTGGGGATGCTTCTTCCCGCTAAGATCCCGGGACTTTCCCCTCCCTTCTCCAGCTCGCGCAGGAACAAAAGGGAGGGAATGGATGCATCCCGCTAGGCGACCCCGCTACCGGACGGAGCATCTTTGCGTTGAAGTTATTTTTAGCCTCCGCGCCAATGATTCTGCATGTGTTTCCCTTCCGAGGCACTGCACCCAACATACATAATCAAGATGAGGAAACAAGCCTTTTGCTTTATATCGGAGTAACGATACACAGAAGTATCATCTAGTTGATACATTCTTACACGACTCGTCCTTGACCAAATGGCAAGGTTTTTAAAATTCAAAGATTCAGCGCAAATGGTTGCAGAAAAAGAAAGAAAACCATACTGCTGAAACAGCATCTGAAGTAGTAACTCTGTGAGACTCTTCCTCAAGCCTGCTCATTATACAAGCATATTATACATAGCACCAGAAATGGCATTTTCTTCACCTCCCTATTCTTGCCTTCTTAGGAAACTGCACTGAGTCACACTCTGGCTGTGTTCAGACAATATCACAGCCAAGGTTTTATTTACCTGTGATGTCTGAACCCAATCATATTTCAACATGGTACATGTAATAAAATAACTCTTTTATTATTCTATGTAATGAATACATAGAAACCATGTAATAAATAACTCTTTGTTCTATCATTCCTGTGTACTACCATTATTTGTGTTGTGTGAACCCAGGTCATGGTATGCAACTCCCTCACCCTGGAACAAGTGGCAGCTGCAGGAGCCACTCCAGACATCTAGCTTCTATGGACCAATGAAGAAGAGGCAGGCATCACAGGCAGGGAAGGATGCACTTTGGGACTGAATTTCAGGCACAATGACTGATGGGGTACATAGAAACAAAGCAAGTCAGAAGGGGTCTGCTGGGCCATCTAGTCTGGCTTCCAGCTTTAGCTGGCTCCACTCAGGTAATCCCCAACATGTGGTTGCCCAGTCTTTCCTTGAAAACCCTCACTGATGGGGTTTCAACCACCTCCCTTGGAAGCCCATTCCATATCCTAGGGGTCCTAACCGTCAGGAAGTACTTCCTGGCATCCAACTTGAAGCCTAGTTCCTTGAGTTTTGCCCCATTGGAACGCGTCCTGCCCTCCTCCACATGACATCCCCTCACATACCTATAAGTCACGAAAGGATCCCCCTGGAGTCACCTCTTCTTCAGGCTGCAAAGGCCTAGTTCTTCAATCTCTTCATATGTCTTCGCTCCCAACCTGGCTACCATTCTTGTTACCTTGTGCTGAACCAATTCTAACCTAGCTAGAATTGGTTCAGCACAATTATAGCTCCTATAATGTGGATGCTGTACTGCCGCTGGGGGCACACCAGAATCATGTAGAACAGTATCAACACGCCAAGAGTGGGAGGACTGAACAGAAGGAATGTAAACCACAGTAAAGTAGAAACCACTTGATCATTTCTCAGGTAGACCATGGTAAAATAAACCAACAACGGCAAACCATGGAAGCCATGCAGGGTTGCTTGTCGTGTTGTGCACATGCAGCCTATAAATCCATCTACCCCTGTATTGTCAACATTAATTGCCATCAACTCTAAGGGTTTTCAGGTAAGAGCAGGTAAGAGTCCTTCCTGTCACTGTCAGAACATGCTGAGGCTGAACCTGGGACTTTTTGCATGCAAAACCTTTTATATCTTTCAGGTTTGTTCCAAAACATTCTTTACCATGAAGTTTTAGCTCATTTGTCTAACCATCAATGGGCACATATATAGTGGTTAGGTTGTTGAACCCGGATCCAGGTTCTGGTTCCCATTGAGCCACAAAGCTCACTGGGTGACTTTGGGCCAGTCATGGACTAGACCTAACCTATTTCACATGGTTGTTGTGAGGATAAAACGGAGTGGAAGAAGAGAATTATGTATGGCACCTTGAGCTCCTTGAAGGAAAAAAGACAGGTTACAAATATAAATAAATAGAAGTTGCTTGAGGCTGGATGGTATTTTGTGTCCATAAATTCTCCTCCTGACCCCTTGGCACTCATACTTTGACAATAAAGAACTTTGTTGTCCTGTTGTATCAGTATAAGGAAGATCCCAATATTACTTATGTGCATGCAAGTCTGCATATGCTAAAGGGATTAGACAAATTTGTGGAAAGACTTATTGAAACCTTTGAAATTTCTGTGTCTCAAAATAGAACTAGTTTCTTCTGGAGAAGGATTTTTTTTAATCTACTGCTTTGGACAAATAGAATAGTTGGACAAACTCCTATGCCAGAATAAAATAGCACTAACAACAATTGTGCAACCTGTGGGGTAGTCCATTTATAGGTGTGCTTGCAGGGCTAGTCTGGTTTCTAGTTTCATCCAGCCCAGTGGCAGTATGAAGAAGTACAAGGGAAGATTTTGTAGACTGTGCCCTTGGCTGACCCTATTTGTTAATCCCCCCAACTTGTAGGCATCCTTATTACATTTCTGTATGACTTATTAGCTGAAAATTTCTAAGCAGGCCTTTCATGGCCCCCTGGATAATGTATGAGTTACTTCCTAAACATCATAAACCATTGAGCTTGTCCAAGAAGGCTATCAGGAGGTCCTCAGCAAAGCTTCTTGCGGGATGTTAAGGTTGTTTTAAGCATTTTATAGTTTCGGGGGGGGGGGGTTACAGTTTTTGTTTTCTAACTGCTTGTAAACTGCTTTGGCTTGTATGACAAGTACAGTGGTAAAATGCAACAAAGATTTTCAGTTGCAAATCTGTTCAAGTGGAGGTGGGGAAACCATGGTTAATTGCAACTTTATTTTTACTCAATAAAACCACATTGCTCAGACCATAAGACAATATGCTTGGACTGCTGGAATAGGGCCCCAGTGTTGCTTGGCAGATGTGTTTAAAACTGAAGTGTTAACTTGGCCTTAAAATGGTTCACCAGTTCATGAAACATTCTTGTAAATGGTAAGAGTGAAAACAGTCTATCCAAAGCGCCGCATGACGGATCTCTCACAGGCCTGTACCACTTGGTAGTGTAGAGTGAGGTGCAGATGTTTGTATCCCTCCCCACATTTCTTTCCCTGTACTTACAAGACTAGCGTGTTATGGAGAAGGTCCAGCTTCCCATCCCTCCAGTTTTGTCTATGCATTCTTATGCGCAGTAGAATTCAAACATTCAATTCATCACTTGAGGTATGAAATTGTATAGCCCTAACACTGGTATAGCCTCTTTCACCTGTTTTAGTTTGCCAGCAAGCTCTCCCATCACTTTTATGCCTTTTTAAGCGATACTAACCTACTGGCAAATATTCAATAAAATAATTCTGTATGCATCTGCTTCCAATCTTGGCAACATAATTCTTTGCACATGTTTCCTTGTTGAGGCTACTTTGATGTCAAGCAAGCTTTTTCCCCCCAAATAGCTGCCCCCACCCAACCCATAACTAATATACACAGTGAGCTTGGTAGAAGGACTTCCATGTTCTTACTCAGATTTTCATCCCTGGCCACTTCTCTTATCTCCTGAGATAGTTAATAAGAAAAACACTATTCCTATAAGTGGATTATGTTTATGTTTACAAGAGCTGAGTAGAGCTGGCAAGGGCAGGGCATTTTGGAGGTCATTCATTCATAAAGCCACCATAAGTTGGAGACAACTTGACA